ATGTCCCGAAAAGCGCCCGAAAATACAAACGAACTGTGCTCATGCCCCCTAGGCATCCTATAATACTCCTTAAATCGAGTCAATTCAATATGGCCGCCGTATCGGTAAAAAGGTCTATTGTAGTGACATCATGTGAAAACCAACAATTCATTCCTCTGGAAAGGTAGCAGGTCCTTTTCGAGATGGACACTACAATGTAAGTGCTGATCCCAGTGATGTCCTTATAAAGAGCTGACTGTAGTGATTGATATCTAACTTCAAAAAGTCAGCAGTTCGAAAATATTTCCATGTTTTGTTTGTAAACACCTTTAAGTTACTAAGGACAACTCTCGCTGTAGATTCCAAGTAGGGAAATTGAAAAATATGAAGGGCGACTATTGACTCACTGGAATAAAGAAACAAAAGAGTTCAGCAAATTCTGTTCTTGTATCTCTAAATGAGTACAAGCTCTTTAAGGTGACTCGACCCAGTTTTTTTGGGGGGGTACCATCCTACTTTGAAGCTCTCTGGTATCCCCACCTTTACTTTTATCGTAAGTCTAACACATAGAATGGATAACATACAGATCAATCTACAATATAACATAGAATCGCATAATTGAGTAAAATCTCGCATTCTGATTGGTTAACGAAGCGAGGTATTTAGTGTGGAATTGCGAGTTGAAAACGAGGCTAAGCAATATTGTTTGGCATCTACGTAACAACTATCGTCAAATTCTAACACAACAACTGGAAAAAAGGTTTTCTACAATGTCATTTTAAAATGTTTTCAAAACCATTGTCACCTTTTGAAGAGTTAAAAACAAACAAAAGCGTTTTTTATAGTGAGCCGGAGGTTCTTCCTTGTTTTGAACTGAGCTACAAATTCTCGAAGAGGCATAAAAAACCTGACAAACCTCTTTCGGTCGCGACAACGAGAAAACAAGAAAATCTTGTGAACACGGCCCAGAAAATGGCTAGCTAAAGTTCAACCAAACAAAACGGAGAAGCGACAACGGAGGAAGTGCCGGGGTCGATTGTCACATATACAGGAGAAGAAATAAATACCTTCAAAGACGACATGGCCCCTCAGTGAAAATACGAAAAAGAGTAGGCCGCTTGCAATCGTCCTGAATCGTGATACTTAGAATAGAGAATAGTACAAAACAGAGCTGAACTTGAACAGCATTTCTAAAACATTTAAAGGTACTTACCATATATCAATTGCGACGTTAAACTTTCAGTGCTTTCGCTTGGACACTTCATTTCTTTCAGTTTTGCCGCCGAAGAGGTAAAAGGTGTAAATTATTTCCCTTCTCGAGCAAATGACCAATTCGAAAAAAGATGTTATAGATAAACGGCTTGTAAATTCAGTGAAATAGCTCTATTTATCCTTACGATTAGTGTGAAGCTTGTTTACAGGTAAAAAAGTTTGAAAACAAATGTAAAAACAAGCACAAGGTACAAAAAAAGTTGTCGAAGGGTCAAACGTGTACGACTGACCTTGCTTCCTATTCGCTAACGCAATGACAGTTCTGACAGTTGACTTTGAAATGGCTTTCTGGAGTTCAGTTATGCGATTCAAGGAAAATCCATTACCTGACTCGTGAATTCCACGTTAAATTGCACTTGAAAACCGATATCACACTCATCGCTTCGCGATTCGTGCGATATCGGTTTTCGCGTGCAATTTAACGTGGAATTCACGAGTCAGGTAATGAATTTTCCTATAAAATTTTTGGCGATCGGAGTAAATGTCACGTGGTTATAATGCCACGCCCCTTTGAGGTCTGACTCGAAAATCTGCTGTTGCGAGCATTTTTTCGTGAAAATCTCTCGGCTACACATAATGCGCATTAGTGCCTTGCGCTGAACAGAGTTTCACCAAAATCGCAAAGACCCAATTCGAGAAATTCAGCGGTTTCCAAATTTAGGTCATAATTTATGCGAAAATGATAAGCAAACTTTACACGAATTATATCTAATAAACTATGAGACTTATCCCTTTATTTTGGGGATCGTTATAACAGATGGGTCCTTGCAAGTCAGCAAAACGCTTTAGGGCCTTGTAAATGCGCGCGATTTCGAGCAAAGCAAACATTCGGAAGTCAGCCAAACGTGGTCATTGCACGCGTGCTGAACAAGAATGCTGTATAATGATATACTAGAAACAATAGACAACTCCCAAAACACAAACTCAGCCAAAACGCTAAAAATCTTTAATGTTTACTCAAGTTTGGGCTTATAGAAGATAATGTCACAGTTTTTCAATGACCATCAAATTCAGAACCCGGGTAGTTAGTTAATCAATTGTGGCCCTGAAAAGGGGTGAGAAGGACTCTTAAACGCTGAAAACGTCAACAAATAGCTAAAACTATAATTTCTATATGTTTGCTTTGCTCAAAATCGCGCGCATTTACAAGGCCCTAAAGCGTTTTGCTGACTTGCAAGGACTCATCTGTTATAACGATCCCCAAAATAAAGGGATAAGTCTCATAGTTTATTAGATATAATCGTGTAAAGCTTGCTTATCATTTTCGCATAAATTATGTCCTAAATTTGGAAACCGCTGAATTTCTCGAATTGGGTCTTTGCGATTTTGGTGAAACTCTGTTCAGCGCAAGGCACTAATGCGCATTATGTGTAGCCGAGAGATTTTCACGAAAAAATGCTCGCAACAGCAGATTTTCGAGTCAGACCTCAAAGGGGCGTGGCATTATAACCACGTGACATTTACTCCGATCGCCAAAAATTTTATGTTATATGGTAGATTGATCTATATGTTATCCATTCTATGTGTAAGACTTACATAAAAGTAAAGGTGGGAATACCAGAGAGCTTCAAAGTAGGATGGTACCCCCCTAAAAAATTGGGTCGAGTCACCTTAATTGATCAATTTTAATGGGCCATAATTCACTTTAATGACAAGTGAATTCAAAGGTTTGTTTTGATTTTTAATTTGCTGATTGTTTCATGTAATTTTGAACTATGGGTATGTTAAATGATAAACAAATGTTTTTGACAACTCAAAGCCTTTACTTTGGACTTGTTGAATTTGATGCGCCACAGCCAATCAATAGTTGTTCCACTTCTTGAAATGAAGCCTTCAATGCCCTCTTAGACTCTTCCTTAACCCAGAGATTTAATAAACATCTTTCTAACCCCATCAATTGTCCTTTAAAATAAACAGCTGATATTTGTTGTATCCGTGGATAGTTTAGTCATGAGCAATTACAACAAAAATACGGGAGCATATGATTATCATTGGCTTTGGACGAGAATTTTCATGCACTAAACCACTCAATAAAAAGCATTCTGTTTTATTGCTTTCAGTTTTTCCTGCAGTTCCATTTCCGATTGACACCCAATCAAATTCAACAGCAACAACAGAAGAGAGGTGGAGCTAGTCAACAGAGTTTGCCACCTGGCCTTGCACCTCCACTACCCAGAAACATAATAATAATAATAATAATAATAGTAATAATAATAATAATAATAATAATAATAATGAAAAAAACAAAACTTTATTCATAGATTTAAAAAAATAGACTATTTACAGATTCAAGAATATGAAATATTAAAATATATACCCCATGTACATTCTTCTTGTGTACGAAAGAGAATTGTCGTAAAATGACTATCTAAAGACTACTAATAACAATTATAAAAAGCATCAAAAAGTTAATAACAAATAAAGACTATTTAAAAATAATAATTCAAACTGATAATAATAATAATAATAATAATAATAATAATAACGCGAATATTTATACAGGATAACCTATCAGTTCTGATAAAAAGAACTGTTATCAAAAGGGTCCTGTAATTATCTCATAAATAGCTAAAAAATAAAGAAGAAAATCGAAAAAGGAAAATAAAATAAAATAACACCAAGAAATCTCAGATTTAAAAATCAAAATCTGTAAAAATCATCGACTTACAAGACTGAAAAGAGTTGTGAATTAGGGAATACTATTGAAAAAAACTCTTTTAAATTAGTCTTAAAAAGAAACCTAGAATTTAAATTTCTTAAATGCCGAGGTAAAGTATTGTAAACTAGATCCCCTTGAAACGCAATCTTCTCCGTCCAAATTCTAATTTGGCTTTGGGAAATTTTAGTGAACACCCATTGTTTCTAGTGTTAATGTTGTGTTCAATTTTTGTAAAATATCCTTTAAAAGGGGTACAGACCTCTGCAAACCCTCTTAATCCTTTTGCTCAGCGCTGATTACTTTACTAGATATACCTTCTCACAGCTTGTTGTCCGCACATATGAACCCACTTGTCGTTTTACTTAGTGCGGATCCAGATTGCCCAGATAGATCCATGTACCTCATCATACAGTATAGTCTCTAAACTTTTGCCCAGGCCTGGGATCAATTAAGTAAAACTTTTACAAGTGAAATTTACAAGGGTAGCTATTGCTTTCAGACTTTTAAACAATTGCTACACTTGTGAATTATTCTTGTAGGATTTAAAAAAAGATTGCCTTGAAAATGGGTGTTCAATTGTGTAGCATCACGGTCCTTGAGTTTAATCTCACTGGAGCTCTCCTAGTCTGAGTTTTTTGTGTCATGCTAATTTGTGTTCCTGTGAGACGTAGTTAGCTTTCTGTCACAGGAAAGATTAAAACTCAAGGAAGGATAGTACCCTAAGAGACCAGATAAGTGCTTTGTTATAGAGCAACCGGAAATTAAATAAACAAGTAAACAACAATTCTATTTCATTTCATTCACTGCTGAATTTTATCTTTTGCGAGTAACCTTTGAATTAAATTAAAGCTATGTTATTATTTATCACCTAAAAACAGTCCGCGTTATACTTAGGGAAACAGCTCATTATCACAAAAATATTTTTTTTATAATTCTCTTCCTTCTTTGTTCACAACAGAGTTGAAAGTAAAAGCATTGTAAACAAATATTGATTTAACTTACACATGTAAAACATGACCATTCATGTGAAAAAAGTAAAGGAAGAAAGAGCCAAATACAGAATTTTTCTGATGTTGAAACTTTAAAGCATTTATTCAAAAATCTGAATACGACTGTTTCGGTTGTCAGATACAACTATTTTACCATCACTAAGAACTGCTGCTGAGATCGGTGTTTTAAACTTTCCTATCCCGCTTCCTTTTGATCCAAACTTAGCGACAAACTTCCCACTCGGATCAAACACCTGAATCCTGTGATTTTCACTATCACAAACCAACAGGTGTCCTGCCTTGTCCACGGACAAGCAAAAAGGCTTGTTGTACTCCCCGTCTGCATTTCCCTGCTTCCCAAATTTGTAAAGGAAGTTACCCTTCCTATCTAATATTTTTACAGAATGGTCACCATTGTCTGATACGATAAGATAGTTGTCATGCTGAATACAGTGAAACGGTTCAGTGAAAGAGCCCTCTGTGCCGAGTTTATTTAAAAACTGACCATCAGTGGAAAAGATCTTAATTAATTTGTTTAGTTTATCAGGTACAATGATATTGCAATCACTGTCAATAGATAAACCAGTAGGAGAGTCAAGTTGGTGATCAAGACTTACTTCTCTCCCAAAGTGGCGAAGGTATTCTCCCTGTCTACTTAGCACTTGAACTCTGTGGTTAACCTGTTCAGCTACAATAATATTGTCACCATGATACACTGTTCCGCAAGGGGAGTTGAGCTGTCCTTGCTGAGCACCCTTTCCACCAAAAGACCTAATATGAGTTCCATCGCTCTTGAATAAGTGAATCTTATGGTTACCAGTGTCACTCACTGCAATTTCATCTTGTTCATTTACTGCTACCCCCCAAGGATATTTCAATATTTGTTCTCCAAACGATAACACAGGTCTGAACTGTCTGGGTTTGACTTGAACCTCAAAAGGGCTGCCACGGATATGTTCTCCATTAACCTTCACTGATGCACTGCATGTTCCTGTTTCTTTGGCAAAGTATTTGATCTTGTAACTACCATCTTTGTTATCTTGGACTTGCACCTCAGTTGTGCAGTTATCGCCTTCACGATTTCTAACTTCCAGCGTGACACAGTCATTATTATCATAACACTGTTGGCATTTCTTGTTTCTTGTTGTCACAACAAGCTGTGCTTCAAGTCCAACAATTGCCTCACTGATTCCTTTTCCATCAGCTCTCGATTGTTGTGCTCTTGTCTGCCTTTCTTTTAGAGAACCAATTTGTTCAACGCTTACGAGATCAAATAACTTGTGATTCTCCACAAAATCAAATTCTTGGAAAAAATCGTCATCACGGTCACTGTCGTCTTGGTAATTTTCTTCCTTTAATATTTTGTCCATCAGCTCGTTCGGCTGCATGAGTTGAGCGCTTGTGCTTCGCTTTAAAAGTGTTTCAGTATTTTCTATTTCTGATTCATGTCGTCTAGCCTGTTCTTCAAATTCCTCTTTTTGCTTTCCAATTTCTTGAAGAGATGCTTTCGTTCTTCGTTCCACATCATCAAAGATCTCCTGTTTCTTTGCTTCAATGGTTGTAATGATGCTGTCAGCAAACTCTTGTACGTTTCTCTTCACACGAGCGGCTTGTTCTTGAACTTCACTAAGGCTTTCGTCAAGTTTGGTGATTTTGCTTCTCTTAGTTTGAGCACTTTTTTTCTGAGATTCAATTGCAGATTTAACTCTTAACTTCCGCTCATTTGCAGCTTGTTCCAGAAGAATCTTTTCGTGTCCATCATGATTCGTTAACGCACAAGCGTTGCAGATTGCTACTTCGCAGATATTGCAGAAGAATTCTATTTCTTTTTTCTCGTGGCCTGGTATCGCACAAAATGTTGGCCGCTTTAAAATATTTTCAAAGTCATGATCTTGAAAGTCTTCCAATGCCAGCGCATAGTGATCTTTATTGGCTTTCATCCTATTGTGGAAAGTGATACACTCTCCGCACCAGAACTCACAACACTGGAAACAATAATGGTTTTCTTTGCTTCGTTTGTCACAATTTCCACACTTAACTCCAGTTGTGCTGCACTCCTTTATGACTAATACATCGAGCAAGCTGTTGATACGAAAGTTTGTTGGCAAAGCTGCTAGGTTTCCATTATCAGGGACATTGAATTCCTGTCTACACTCCGGGCACGCAATTTTATCTCGTCTGCCACTCGTTCGTTGAATCTCATTCAGACAATGAAGGCAAAAACTATGCAAACACGGCAACTGTTTTGGATCGGTGTAGTTGCACATACACACAGAGCATGATAACTCTTCATGAAAGTTGTTTAACAAGGTTCGAATATCCATGTTGTCTGTGTTGGTGGTCGCGGAAGCGATAAACGTAGCGGAACGGTGAAAACTATGTTGAATATATTGCGGTCTTTTTGTGGTTAGGCCTATTGATCACTGCAGAAAATACTATAACATACTATAATGTTCTTTGTTTGTCACCCCAAAAGTTTGCATAAGCATTGTTTTCAGTTTATCTTGGGGCCATTTTAACTCCCAAGAGAAACTGAAGACAATGCTGGTGCGAAATTTTGGGGTCAGTGACAAACAAAGAGCATAATGGAATGTTATGGTATTTTCTGTAGTGGTCAATCACGTTTGCACATGATTGACCTGGAGAAATGATGTTATAAACCAAATCAAAAAGGCTTACTTGACATGTTTTGACGTTAACTAGCTTCTGAGAATGATTGTAAAATACCCGGCATTTCTTAGAACTGAGTTTAGGGTGGCTACTGTTCCTTCACCTTTATTCAACTGTTTCACAAAATTAAAAACGCTGTTTCGTCTGGTCCGTTTATCTTAAATAGAGAGCTGCTTTTTGGTACGCTGGCGTATTTTCAACAACACGAGACAACTACAATCATGACCAAAAGGTACTGGACACTTTCCCGTATTCGCGTCAGTTTTTGTTTGGAATTTGCATGTAGCCAGCAATACATATTCATAAATACCGCCTTACCAAGGTTCCCCCCCACTGATCAAACTTTAAGTTGGGGTGAACGTGTTGTCGATGTGTAACGAAGTGCTTGACTTTTAACACCCAACACTGTCCTTGGGGGAAGGGGGTTAACAAGCTCTTCATTTGGGGGAGCTGTAGCCTGTTCCAGGCTCTCAGATATTAGGGATGACGCGTAACTGAAACGGACGCGAAAATATGAGCGCGTGATCTGGGAAAAGCGGGATCGTGGCTCCGCAGTTTCCTCCCGTTTTATTTTCGTGATCACGCTTTCTCAATTTCGCGGATCCGAGTATCCCGGAGCCTGGAACAGACCAGGGGAGCTGCGAGTAGTCAACCTAAGCGACAGCCGCACGCGAAAAGGAGACACCACTGCTTTGAAGGCAGTCATTTTTTCACTCTTCAGTGTAGTCGACCTACTGTAACCCAAAAGAGAAACAAGAGACTGCTCGCAGTCTAGTGTAAGCAGCCCATTGTTTCCGCCTTTCGGCGAGTCTAGTTTTTTTTTTTTTTGACAATTTGTTTCTGAATTGAATAGAACGCGTGTGAAAATGCACGAAAATCAAAGAAACGTGATAAACATGGCGCGTCATTTCCATCGTCACCGAAAATAAACCGCATCCTTATCACAAGACTCATTTGCATACAATGAAAGTTTACAACAGCCGTCTAGTTAGCCTCACCATCGAAGGTTTTGCTCATTAAGATTTTTCTTATTTCGACCACTGAATATTTCCTTGTCCCAAAGCAATAAACGCTTTCAAGCGATAGGATTCGTGGACCGACCCGTTGCGGAAAAGCTCGACATCTTTCGCAGTTTTCTATTGACCACTACAGAAAATACCATAACATACCATAATGCTCTTTGTTTGTCTCTGGCCCCAAAATTTTGCATAAGCATTTTCTTCAGTTTCTCTTGGGAGTTAAAATGGCTCCAATAGAAACTGCAAACAATGCTTATTCAAAATTTTGGGGTGACAAACAAAGAGCATTATGATATGTTATGGTATTTTCTGTCGTGGTCAATAGACCTTATTCACGATGCCCATTCTTTGCACGCGCTTGAGGAATGATGGGATAAAAGTGACGTCACGTGGTGTCTCAGGGGGTAAAAATAGTGGGATAAATTTTTCCAAGGCAAGAAATCGCGGTCGAGTTTGTTTATTCTTAACAACAGAAAATGAACAACTTTTTATGTTAAAGACGATAATGGCAAATTATGGGTGGAAGTGAAAATTTTCACTTTTTGGATGCAGTAGCGACCGTAGATGTCCTCACAGCAAGCAATAATGACGTTAATTTTGTCGAAACTCAAACCGTACATTTTGAATGACTATTAAGTCGTCGTTTCGTTTTGGGAGAATAAACAAAGTCCAATGCGATTTCTCGCATTGGTAAATTTTATCTTTTGTTTGCCCCCTGAATTACCACGTGACATTACTTTTATCCCATCAATCCTAAAGCACGTCCAAAGATGGTGGGTATCGTGAATAATGCCTATTCTGTGCATTGCTTTCGTCACACCGCGATTCTTATCCCCAGTTTACACGGTCTCCGCAAGGAACGCCTTGCATAGGACCATGATTCCCATTTTGTGACGTACACACGGAAAAAAAGAAGGCTTGCATTTTCTCAGTCTCGCAGTAAAAGCAAGCGAGACTAATAACGCGGTCACAACAGACTCCAGCAATACAGGTTTCACCAGGTCGCGAATGGCAAAGTTTCTTTTAAAATTGCACTAATTTCATACCGTGCGGGAGCCTGGCACTACTGGATTTTCCCGGACTTTTTAATTCCGAACTCAAAATGTCTTCCAAAATAGAGGGTAAAGCAGAGGTCATTGTGTGCAGTTGAAACGATAAAGGTCCAGTTTATTCCAGAAAGTTAATATTCTACAGCAAAGATCAGTTGTTTCACTGCTTTAAAGAACTTAAACTTAAAAAACTTCGAGAAAAGAAAGATCTAATCGGAGACTTTCGCTACTTGGAAGTATTGGAAGGTTTCCCGAATTGTTTGACAAAAAATTTGAGCGAAGAATCTTCGCGTATAGCTTTTTTTACGGCGCTGGATCCGACCGAATATTGGGAAATGATATATAAGGGAGTGGGTGTACCTGTTTTTACAAACCGTAAAATAAAGACTACCAAAAAGCGAATCACGCCAGAGTGATCCTAAGTAAAAGGGCAACATCGTATTAGGTATACAAGGCTTACATTAGGTTTTCTCTCCGTCGCTGCAGCTGGGTACGGTCTCAGTAAAAAATCCTAAAGATCAGACCAGAGACAATTTTCACTGAACGTAGATAAACGTAAGTATACTTCAGTTCTACAAGAGAGGCATTCCTCGTCAGGTAACACTGCAGTTCCTGTGACCAGGGCAACGAGGCCTCTGCTAGCGGGGAAAAACTAAGTGACAAAAACACAACACAAACCAAACGCAGTGAAGAGACCTCAAACACCAGCCGGCACGGATAGTCAAAATGGCAGGAAAGTCAAGGCCACGCGGTGTAAACATCAAAGTCATGATATTGTCATTACCATCTTTAAAGCGCGACGAATTCTGCGCGTAGTTTCACATTTCAACCTGTCAGTTTTGGCCATGAAACGTTGTCGGTTAGTCTGTGACGTGAAATTGACAACGTTTTTGGCGCCGTACGAAAATGTTTTGATCATGTGCTGTCTAAATTTTCAGGTTATTCGTGGGAGCGTATTCTGCGTGTATCAATATGGTGATGCAAAATTGAAACTGGAAATACTAGAAGAGTTCTTTTTGTGAATCCGCCTGGGCGTGTTGAGGATTTCAACAAACTACGTTTTGCGTGAGATTCCGAAGACACGTTTTATGGATTTTGGTTTACTTTACGAAAACGATAAAGGAGAATATGTAGTGTTGAATGACGTTCGCATGGCAGACATTCGCCTCGCTTCGCTTGTTTACTTGCTTGTTTTTGTTAGCACGTGTTGCGTGCCTATTGCACTTTTGCGTCAAAACAAGCCGTTTCGATTACTCTATTTGGGCCACGCCCAAATAATGAGCTTGGTCCCTCTCGGAACCAACGCGGGAAATCTCGAGCGGGCTGGATGGGTCCATCTCGCCCGCTGGGGTAGCCACTAAAAACGCGGAATTCGTTTCATCTTGCCTTTGGCGGATTCGGCCATATCTGAATAGAGTATAAACTTAAGAGATTGCTCAAGGCTAAAGAGTTGAACATTTTTCTTGTCACCAGAAGCTTTATAGAAGTAAGGCGGCATTAAGATTAAGTCGTTTCATCGAGATAGAGGACGCTATGTTTTTTGTAATAACCTGATTAGGAATCAGTAAAGGGTTTTAAGCTCCACTGTGTGTGTGTGGTATGTCTTTAAGTGAAAAAGATACTTGTTGAATACATTTGAGCCCTTTTGTGCCTGGCCTGCCTCGAATAGCCTCGCTAACCGGAGGCCAGTCCCAATGTATCTTTTGTTGTACTTCTAAATTTGAATAAAGTTGAAGTTGAAGTTGAAGGCGTCTTATTTTTTCATATGATTGACCTCAAGTAATGATGTTATAAACCAATCAAAAAGGCTTATTTCTTAGCCTGCGAACAGCAGACTTTTCATCTCGCTCATCGCCGCTGAGGGACGTTTCGTTTCGTTTCGGCAATTCTTAGAACTGAGGTCTGGGTGGGTACGTTTCCCTGACCTTTATTCACCTCTTTCACAAAACAAAAACACTGGTCTTTATTAACGGATTTTCATTAACACGAGACAAGTACAATCCTAGCCAAGAGGTTTTGGAACACTTTCCCTTTTTCACGTGCTTTTGTTTGGAATTTACAGCTAGCCAGAAATACAGAAGGTTTCTCCCCAACCTTCCCCGCCTCCCGCTGATCAAGTTTTAGTTGAGGTTCATAACCTTTCAAAGACTTGTATTAAAAGTGTTATGATGGGGAAGAGGCGGTGGGTGGGAGGGGGGTTAACTTGAACCAGGATTGCAACAAGATTGAGAAAAGACTACCTAATAACTAGAAAAGTCCTAGACAGAGAAACATTAAAATCGGGGTACTCCCTTACACAGGGCATACTGAGGTATGTACCGCCCCAAAGGTTTTTGCGCCGTTTTGGTCTGAAAATGGTATAGATTCTGCATAGAGTCGGTTAAGGTTTTCGGTGAAACTAAGGGAGCTTATGAACGTATCTATTTTTTCAGTTCCAAATGAATAAGGAAGAAAGAGAAATATGCGAATTGGAAGACAATTTTGTTTCGTTAATTGATAAGTTCATTGTATCATTTCCCAAATTAATTTCGGGGCCGAAAAGTTACCGCGACTTTCGAGAAACGGACCCCCGGGTACCAAAATAGC